GAAACCATTCTCCAATCTTCCTGAGAACTCTTAAGCCTACTGCCTATCCACCATAGACAAACATCTCAACTGTTAAATTTCCCTCCTGATTTATGACCAAACTTCATCTCTTTTCACTGATTAAGAGAGTTTTGTTTCCTAACAGACACACTCCGTGTTCCCACCTCGGGCCCTGGGGTGAGCACATCTTCCTCCTTCTGTCATGAACCAGCGCATCTCTGCATCTCTGGGCAAGTCTCTCTGTGCTGCAGGCCTTGAGGAGTAACTGTTCCTAGCACTTTCGCTCTTATTTTTTTTAAAAAGTCCCTTACTGAAAAAAAAACACATCATTGCTTTCTCTCCTGAGATATTTTTATATTGTGTCCCTAGAGGAAGCATTGCAGCTGATGGCCCCGTTCAGGGCAGAGGCCCACAGACAGACAGTCTGGCTCCAATCTATGCTGTGTGCTCACACGGCTGATAGGGTTAGTGTTTAGATATGGAGAAGTGCCTTACTTGAACCTGACTTGGTTCCGTGCTGGTAACATCCAGCTTGGAATCACACATTTAAAGGCCAAGAGTTAGTCATTTTTTCATCTTCTCTCTCTCACACACACCCACGCATGCACACCTCCTCAAATGTCTTGGGAGTAGTTTCAGTATTTTAATAGCACGGTGCACAGTGTAAGTTGGCAGAAGTCCATATTGCCCCATATTAAACTCTGCTGTAGACACTTTGGACCTATTGGAACTCTTACGTATGTAAAATATGCATCGGAGCTTTCACAAAACCCTATTGGTGCCTTTATTATCTCCCGTTTTTCTTCTGTCCAAGTTTTCACTATCACTTTATTTCAGACCCTAAACTCAACACTCCCTACAGGTAAACTGAAAAAGAAGGGCACTAATTCTTAATTCATAAGGTGTCCATAATTCTACAAACATGTAATAAAAATGAGCAAACATCTCTGTATAAAACTTGGGTTCAATCCAGAATTATATTTAACTCCCAAATGCCTGATAAAGCCATAGAATTGAAGGCACCAGCAGTTCCTCCACAGTAGCCTGGCCAGGCAGAGGGTGGCCCGCACCACAGAGACCTTGCTAAGGCCATTTTCTCCAAAGTCCCGGTCACCTTGTTGGATTCTTATGTCTGTGGGTCCTTAGCTGGTGATACTGCAACCTGCCTACTTCGAATCAACTGTCCCAGTAACTTAGTGAGATGGGGGTAGGGGGAGGAAGAGAGTAAAATCAGACATTTGAAAGCAAGCCCTCACTAGACATTCTCTCAGGAACTAGATCACCACCTCTTGCAGGCTTGGTTTTCCTTGGCTTGCAGCATGACTGTCCCTCACCGGCCCGTGCCAAGGCTTTGGCATGGCAGACAAAACACCTCCCTTTCAAATAAGCCTCGCTCTTTGGAAACCTTAAATGCAGCTAGTTCATACTCTGGCAAACCTCAAACCTAAACATTCCCAGTTCACAAATGACATTTTGCCAAGGTGCTTACGAAGCCCCGGCTCTAGCAGAGTGTGTGATGTGGACTCGCCATGGTTTGACAAACAAATGCACAGCCCCCTCCAGGGCCGTGGGGCTGCATTCCAGTGCAGGGCTCAAATACCGTCTCCCCAACCATGCCCCGTGCTTGCTGGTTAGAGAATTCTTGTCGGTGTTCTAAAAATTATACTGTTTGCATGCTTATCAGATGCACAAAATGCATTTTTCATGGATTTTCCTATCACTGATGGGGTAACATAGAAAGTGATATACTTCAGAAGCATGGAATTGATGAAAGTAACAATCAAAGAGGAACAGTATGTTTTCTTCCTTCCCCATAAATCTGATCTGTAAATGCAAAGAATGTGAGGCATGAACATAAGAAAGTCAACAATTTTATTTAAAACTTAAAAAAAAGAAACACTGGCCAATCTTAGGATACGTATTTAACCAACCTAGTCTCGAGAAGGAGAACCTTTTAAATGAGACACTGAACCCCCATCTGAAATGCATATCTGTAGGGCAGCAGCCATCAGAAACACACGGAGCAGTGTGGGGCTCAGTTGTATTGTCTAGCATCAGTCAACATTCCTCAAAAGCACAGAGCGTCACTAATGGAATTATATGTTTTCATGCTATAATTACATTTGATTTTTCCTGATATTTTTGTAGACATTTTGTTCATGACTAGACAGGATACCTACAAGCTTTCTATGCCCTCAGCCTATCCAACCCCCACCCCCAGAGAGACAGAAAGAGGAATTATTTCACAGAAAAAAAAGACAAATGTCCATTTTAAAAGATTTTATTCAACCTTTAAAGATTCTCTTTCCACAACAACAACAACAAAAGCATGAACAACAGAAAGAAGGAAGGAAAAACAATTCTGTACTTGAAGGAAACAGAACAAGAGCTCCCTCTGAAGTCTGAAAGTCCTTCAAACACAATGGATGCTTCCAATTTTTGTTCTTGGTCCCGAGGGACCGTGTGTCGGAGAAAATGGAACGGGTTCGACCTTTGGGTGTGTTGCTCCAAACGATCCTGTCCCTGGCAGACGCGAGGACCAGGCAGCACCGCCCAAGCAGCAGAGGACGCGAGCCGGGGTGGCCGTGAAGCCCAGGAACACTGAGCATCTGTTTTCAAGGAGGCAGAATCTCGAGCCACGAAATCGACAGAAGTCTCTGAGGAAGAAGAGACAATTCTACAAAATTAGGAAACTGTGTAGACGCCCAGCATATTATCCCCCCCCCCCCGCCGTCTCTGTCTAGAGTCAGGTCCGTGCTCTGCTCAGCACACCTCCGTGACCGTCCTTTTCTTAGCTTAGCGCTCTGTTCCTGTTTTCTAGGTTTCAGGCACTACGGGATGTGAGGTGACACTCACTTTAAATATGTTCACACGCTCGGGTGGCCCCCTGAAAGCTTTACGGAAGGAGGCGAGGGAGAAACTTGGTTGCTGCAGCACAGATGTGGAGTGAGGAGGGGCTTCCGCTCGCTAAGTGGAAAAAGTTTGGGGTGCACAGGGGTACTGCCGGGCCTGCCCTGGGGTGCGTGTTCTTGTCCTAAATTAATGTCGCGGAAGCACCGCCTTTTCCAAGTTGAAATACATTCCTTGAAAGGCCATTTATTAGAACATTGCAAACACAAGTTCGGGACTCTCCTTAAATCCTTAAGTTCAGCTCCTGGCCCAGCCGCTCAACCCAAATCACCTTCTGAGGTCTTCCAAGATAACCCAAGGTCAGCCAAAGCCAATAGTGTCTTCCTAGAATTGTCAGCTTTATTCAAAACCGTATTCTCCATACTAACATTAGGCTCATTCTGGTCTCAGATGCTAAGGATTTGTTCCTTCTAGGTTATCTGTTTTCTGGATCTTCAGGGTCCCACCTGCAGCAGTTCCCTTTAGAGATGGTTCCAACACCAATCAACAGAAACCCTTGTCTGAGCATGAGTAACTTCCCTAGGCCAACCTCTCAACTCTCTTTACTTTGAAGCTGTACACCTCTTGTTGCCAGGCCTTCAGCTGTAGTCGCCATGGTAAAGTGCCACCTCAGTTCTTGATTCTCATCCTCTTGCTGCTGCATAGTATTTTGGTTTCTGTAAACAAAAGATAAGTCACTCTGACTCTGTACTAAGCCCTTTACTTTCGTTAAACTTCTAAGTGTATATATTTTCTACTTAGGTTACATTTATTTAATAGTGTTCCTTTCGTTACCCTTGACCCTTCTCTCTTCATCTTTGATCAAATGCAGGTCAGACCAAACTGTACATCTACGCAGGTCAGTACTGCCTGCTGGTCAAAACCCGGTGGCAGTGCCACTGTGCTCCACCTGCTCTTCTTATCCCAACTCCACACGGCATTGTGGGCTCCAGTCCTGCAACCCCCTGGTAGAACTACTTGTCTCCCAACCCCAATTCTTATGTGTCATCATTCTCAAAAGGACGTCATTTCTTCTTTTTAAGATGTCTGTCATTCTTCAGTATTCCATCCAGTGCATTTCTCCAAAGGACTTTCCATGGAGCGCATGTAAACTGGCTCCTGTGGGCTAGTTTGTTTTCCTCCTCCTCCCTTGTGAACCTGCAGCTTCATGTGACAATGTGCCCTAGGTCATCTTTATCTGCATACAAATTTGTGGCAGACTCTGGCCAGCAGAGTCCACCTGTTGTGGCTGACGATGAGAATGAATGCACAGCAGACAGCAATCCTGTGGAGAAAAAGGGAACGGCACTACTGCTGTCTCAGGGAGAGAGTTCCTGTGGTGCCTTGGCCACTCTCTCAAGAGGGCAGCACCCTGACCCTTGTCTAGACAGGCTTTTATTGTTTTCCTGGGGTCTTACATCAGAGAAAGATTTATTATCTATTACATAGAATATTATTGTCTACATTTTAGGTACAATCAAGGAAATGAAAGTAACATGCAGAGGGGAATGGCAATGAGCCAATTAGCTGAGTCCTTGGGAGAACTCATACAAGCTTTGGAAATTACCTTGAAGATAGACAGTACACATTTGTTGTTTTAGACCAGGATGATGGAGTTTTAGCAAGAGCAAGCCATAACAATCTGTATGCATTGTCTAGGCCTGATTCCCATGGGAAAACTCAATTTGAAGGTCTGACTCCTGCCCACCACTTCGCTTCTGTAGGTTTTCCATACAGAGCTGAGTCACATTTGCCAGACTAAAACAAACCGGTCCCCTACGCAAATTCCTGTAAATTCACAGGTTTATCTACGAATATGTCCTAGATGAGCCCTTTGGAAAGGCACCTGTCTAGATAGTCGGAAAACCTCTTGGATCTTCCACAGAAACCCATGCATCTCCCTATCCCCACAACAGTATGCACTTAAAACATCCTTTATTTAATCTTGATTGTATTTTTTCCATTGCCCTTTAGTCTCCTTACACCTCCCTCCCTCTGGCAGTCACCACATGGTTGCCCATGTCCCTGAGTCTTTTTATTATTTGAAACATTTTTAATACTAACTGTATGTATTGAAACTTCACCTCATTCTGTGTGCATTTTTTTTTCAGGATCCCCCCATGGCTGTAACTCTTGGACTCCGAATGGAGGAAATGATTTTTAATCTTGCTGATACACATTTATTTTTTAATGATTTAGAGGTAAGACTTTTAAAGGGTAAGAGTAGTTGTATCCAACTGTTAGAACTTGTAGATGGTCTCTATAAACCAGATAACCTCAAGAAACCTGAAAGATAGAAATTCAGCTTAAGAGAACAGTAAAGCTTCTGTGAAAGGGAGACAGTGCCTATGCAAATATAAGCAAAAGCTATTTAGTTCATGAATTATACCTATGTACTGTCACCTATTTAGAATGAAAATATCTCAGACGGTCTCCTTTGCTGTCCATATTGTGACCTCTCTTCTCCACTGCTCTGAGTTTTTCTAATGTCTTGACCACAACCCATTTGCACCTTTGGAAATAGCATTAGCTTTTCCAGGACAGAGACCAGGATATCCTTTAGGTTGATCACTGGACAGTAGTCACAAATACTGTTCAGGGTACTGGCAAGGGTCCTTGAGTTTGCAGATAACCTGCCACCTAACTCTAGACAAGGAGACCCTTCCTCATTTCCTCCCCTTTCAGATGAAATAGTGCTGGGGTATTTACATCGCACAGCTGACTGGTTCCACTGCATTTGTTTTCACTCTCTCTCTACTTTTTCTTTCCATCTCCAACCTGAAATGAAGAGAAAGTAAAACTACAACAAAATGAAAGGACCCAAGAAAAAAAAAGCTTCAGGATAGCTTAATAGGTACCGTAATAAGGTGTATGATCTGGGTGCTAATGACCTGAGCCACTAGGCATTTGGACAATAAAATTTGAAATAACCCAGCAGGTTGGGCACAAGGCAGGCATGCCTCTCAGTCAAGCACCACTACGCTGAAAGATTTCTCTCTCTCTCTTTTTAAATGTCATATTTATAATTTGTTTTTATCTCATGGTTGTAGAGTGGAAGGAAAGTGTTCATCTGTAATATTATGAAGAGATTTTTATTACTAAACCCTCAGCTTATGTTCAACATTTTATATCAGAATCTCTATTACTTAATGAACAGCCTTTTGAAATCAGTGTTCGCCACACTCTTTTGTAGCAGCAGAATTATTGGGTTCCCAGGTGGGAAAGTCACGTGTAAGGTCCCCTGTCAGCCAAGTGGGAGAAGTGGGATGGGAAACTCTGGGGTCTTGTCTTATTTCTGCCCCTACCCTATGCCAAAATTCACGGAAGTACATGTGAAAGAAATGCCAAGCTAGTCCTGAGTAAGTTGTTTTGTTTTGTTTTTAATTGAGAAGGTCTTAAATCCGATTTGGGTTAGAGAGGAGACATAGAGCAAAACCTGTGTTGTTCGGTACGCCTCGTGAGTGTGCGTGTCGGGATGGGTGCCGTAGCCCTGTGTTGATTTCTCTTCAGTGAGTCACCCTTTTTCCTGGATAATAAACTCACTGTCTGTTTAAAGAGGTTTTATTTTTTTTCCTTAATGGACATATGAAAGATTAATGTTTCTAGGCAAGTGTTCCAGTTTCATAATAAGAAATCATTATCACCTCTCCAAAACCTGATTTAAAGTAATCTTGCTACTGATCCCTGCCTAGTGTACAGAATGGTTTTACATATACATGATAATAGGAAACACATTTTAACCTTTTTGGAACTTGAATTTTTTTATATAGAGTGATAACTTCTTAGTTTTTTCTGTTGGTTAGAATGGATTACCCTCATTCTAAAGAGAATTCTAAGATTATTAGTCCTTTCAAACCTATAAAAGACAAAAAAAGGAAGTTTTATGTGGCTTTATCCAAATTTTATGGGTTTTATTTCATTTTATTAATTATTTTTTACTAGAAATAAATGGAATAAGTGACCTATTTGCTGTTTTACTGGCACATTGGAAGACAGATGGAATAAATTTGCCACCCAACTTTTAACAGAACTCTAATGTGCGAACACCAAAGTAGCATATGATGAATTTGCAAACACCTTCATCAAGTTTGACGTGAATATTTGCATATCAGAAACACGTGCTATAGTACTTTAAGCATTTTAATTTGGGGCTAGATACTATACAGAATATATTTTTAAAATACTTGGCAGGATCTTTGGTAGATATATTAACTGAGAAAATATTGGTATTGACTTTCTTTCCTTGACTATAGCTTTTCAGTTATGCTTTAGAATGTGGTAAAATTTTATTTGAGCCAAACACTAAAACCTAGTGTGCAACTTCCCTTAGTAAAAAGAAATGATTGGGTCTCTTGCATATAAACGGATTGAGTTCTCATCCATGCCCACGCACACGCATGCCACACTGAACACGCACATTCAGAAGACCTACCCTAGGAGACTCAGAAGGTTATTACTGACCTAAAGTGAGATAAATTCGAAAGCTAATAAAATCTAAACAACAGCTTTCGAGGCCATTCAGTGCAGTTCCATACATACCCACTCCCCTTCCGCATTGAGTTGGAAAGCCAACTTTACTTTCACCGGATTCTTGTTTTAGTGAACCTCCTCTAAGCAAACATTGTCCTGAGCCTCATAACTGATATTAAACTATTTTTGTTTCTGACACAGAGAATTCCTCAAGAGAGTAACTCCGTCATTACCCTATCATGGTTTTTTTTCCCCCTTGTGTATTTAATCTCTCAAGGTTTCTTTTCTTAACCTAAAAAAATCTAATTTGAGCCTCAAATCCTTCCATGGACGCTGCAACATGTGTAGTAGCAGCTGCTCTCTCATAATTCCTCAGAAGACACAGATTTAAATCCCCGTGTAGAGACTGGACTACTTCCTGCCCAACTGCAGAGGCTCTGCTCCCCCGAAGGAGGGAGGGCTCTACTCCAATAAGATGTTTTTTCAGTTAAAATAACTTCCAGAAAAGAAGGCGCCCAGGAGCCTGGCTCCAGAAGTGAGAGTAGACTGCTGCGGATTATAATTGATAAAGATCAGTGGCCGCGTTGCAGTCACCTTATAAAGCAAAATTAAAGAATTTCAGATTAGTGCCGAATTATCCCAAATGTTTGAGTTCTTTTACTAACGTTTGTTAAAGCCAAATGATTGTTGCACTGGTTTTAGCCTTTCGGGGTTGGTCAAAATCATTCCTGCAAAGTCCCTTTGAGCGAAAGAAAATTAATTGAAGAACAATTATTTAGATTTTTCTGAAAAGTATAAGTGATTGAAGTTCAGGTTTCTTTCACTGGACTGTAATTCTTGGGCTAGAGTCCAGAATCAACAAGCATAGCTAACTAGGCATAAATTTAAGGAGAAGTTCCATTTGGAAAAGCCTCAAACGTAACTTCAAATATGAAGCTCACGGTCCAATAAGTTTGATATACTGATGTCCTCAAGAGTAAAAAAAATAAGTTTGGGGGCAAAATGTATAAATTAATCATGTGAGTTAATACTTGAAATGTCAGAGGAATTTCTCTAAAAATTAGGATGAGAGGATATTAAATATAGAAATAACATCTAATTACCAGGGTAAGTCATAAAAATTTCCTCCAAACTTTTTTGGGGATGTTATTAGTTTGTTTAAAAGAGGGACATGGAAATTATTTGCCTGATGAAAGATTGTAGAACTCATTTCTGGTAGAAATGAGCGGCCTGGTGTGATGCCAATCCAAAGGTGATTTAATTCAGGCTTCATGCTCACCGAGAATGTCACCATCTCCAAGTAAGAAATAATCCTTGTCGTCTAGACCTACTTCGCTGCCTCCGAATTTTAGGAGAAGAAATTTATTTCCAACTTTTATGCTAACTGGTTAAATCTTTTGGCTCTTTCCTTTGGAGCCCAAGCAGCTACTACTGTTGCTTGCAGTACTTTTCCCTGAGACTTTTCTGGAAGCATAATACCTCCTTTAGTTAAAGTCTGGGCTGTAGTCCTTTCAAACAATAGTCTGTCAAAAGGGAGAGGAAGCTTTCTAAATGCTTGTCCTGCCTCAGGGGCCTGTGGCTCTTCTTGCCCACTCTCTCACCCTCCCCCCCACCCCATCCTGATAAAAGTATCTTCTCACAATTCTTACTATCTAGAATGTTGTTTTATATCACCATAGCTTTGTGTTAGAAAATTGAAATGACTGTGGTCATTCTGTCAAATACTATGATTTGTCTAGACTTCTGCCATTTATCCAACTAAGAATTGCTGAGTGATTACTCTGTGACAGATGGCACTGTCAGTGGAGGGGAGGGGGGTGTCACCAGGTGACCCAAACACCCGCCTCAGGGAGCTTCCAGCCACATTAGCTCTACTGGTCCCTTTCTTACCCGTGAATATAGGTGGAGATTTATTCAAAATGTTCCTAACCCATAATTGATGTAAATCACATGAACCTTTAAAATTAATGTACCATAATGTATTAATGTAAAATTAATGTATTTTCAACTTACATACTAAAGTTGTATTGGTTGGGCTAGTTGTTAAGGTTTTTATATTTTTCAAAGAAACTAGTGAGAAAAGCTGCAGATGAGATATTAAATATTTCACTATCAGATATTTTCACATCCCACAATGAGGACAAATAGTAGATGAAAAGCCTTTTCTTTTTAGGGTGACATCTTATTTGCAAAGTTTATAATTTTTAATTGGTTTTGAGTGGTAAGCACTATGCATGCAGTCAGGATCTGAGAGAATGACTGAAGTAATTTGAGGGAGATAGAAGCCCAAAAGGCTAAAACATATTGAACCTGAGGTCAGTAAGTGCTAAGTTTTTAATGCCTTAGCCAGACTTGACCCTTCGCTTGTGTACAATAGTAAAGAAGGACAGTGAAGAAGAACTGAGTCCTTACACAGGAAAGTCACCACTACATTTGTTCTGAGAGCTCTGTGTCACGTCAGACCAGTTGTCCAGGGTCCATCCCTGAAGTTTATTCTCCTCTGGGTTTGTAGCACATTGGATGTGGTAAATCCTCAGTATTTTTAAGGTTTGTTTTGTTTTTTTTTTTAGTTTAAAGATTTTAAAACTCGAACAAAAGGAAAAAAGACAACATAAGCATCTGTGCTTATTAGCATTTTTCCCCTGTGTTAAAAGACCAGGACTTAAAATGACGCCCTCATGGTTCCTCCGTGGGATCTCGGGCCCCATGCAAGGCAGGAAGCCATAGAACTAACTCTCCCCAGAGCCCACCGGCGTCGTCAGGCCTCTGGGCAAATATAAGGAACAGCAACCACCGAGGCTCTGGGACCAGACAGTTCTGTGTCCTCAGCTCAGCCTTGCTGCATTTAGCTCGTCAGTACGCACAGCCAGGGCGGAGAAATGGCTGAAAGGGAACACCAGTTATTAGTACAAAGATTCAAAAGAGAATTTCTTATCAACAGTCTTAAGACTAAAACCATTTTTAAAGTTGCACTAAAGAAACCCACATGCCATACGTTTTCAGGCCCCCTTCTAGGGCGCTCTGCTGGATTTCAGTTTTTACAGAGTAGAAATGGTGCCCTTTCTCAGCAGGAGAGGATGGCATATGTGGGCAAATGCTGCCCTCTGCTGGCCATAACCTGATAATAATGGAAAGACAGCAAAACTTTCACATATGGTGGCAGGCATCATTTGAAAAACATAACTTTTCTAATGTTTTTAACAGGAGTGTGATCAAGTTCATATAGATGATGTTTCCTCTGATGATAATGGTCAGGACTTAAGGTAAGCCGTGCCTTTTAGTATGCTATTTCCTACAGAAATTTAACTATGGAGTTTTGCACATGTAATTATTTCTTTTATCTCTTTTTAATATATTTTGGGTGTTGCAGTACCTACAGTTTTGCAACTGATGGCTTCCATGCAGCTGCAAGTAGTGCAAACCTTTGTTTGCCAACAGGTGTAAGAGGAGGGGTGGACTGGATGAGGAAGTTGGCTTTTCGTTACAGAAGAGTAAAAGAATTATACAACACCTACAAGAACAATGTCGGAGGTACGTGTGGCTTTTTAAATCTGACAAAGGCACTAGAGATAGAGGTAGAATCTGAACTATCCTACTGTGAAATAAATTATCAGGAGGCCATGCTGACCTACATTGATCCAGAAGTTTAAGTTTAATCTTGGAGTGGGGATGGAAACATAACTGCCACGTAGAATGTGCAGCTTCGTCAAACGCCCTGGGAATGTACAGTTCCCAGGTATTTGCTCCAGATCAACAGAAGGACCTTTAGTTTACCTTCTTCAGCTGGGACTGTACCAGTGAAACCCAGCAGGGCAGCTGAGGAGGCCGCGGGAACACCTGCGCAGAGGAGCGCTCCAGGCTCGGAAACGGAGCTGTTAGCAAGCCTTACCTTTCTGGGGTCCTACCGAAAACAAATACGAACGTGCTTTCTGTCACTTCGAAGACTTCCAGCAGTCTGTTTTATCCTTTAAAAAATTTCCTGTTAGCCGACAGTAATCTTTCCCACATATTGTGTAAACTATGACTATCGCCACAGTTTTCATGAGTTCCAGTACTTTCTAGGTATTATCTCAGTCCTTTTATGCCCACTGATACCTTACAGGTGAGCAAAACCTGTGACATCAAAACTAAGATCGGGAATGTGTTTTTTTACCTAATAAACCTTGATGATATCTTATTATTAGGATCAATTTGGGGTCAAGCTCCTAAGGTCAGCCATGAGGTCACACAAGAGTTTTCTTCCAGGGAGTTTTTTGTTTCTTTTTTGAAAAAGGAAAAAAAAATGATGAATGGGGAGCATAAACCAGAAGTAAAATTAAATGATACATCTAAATGCACTTGTGCATACTATACATATATACATGTATAGCCACATGCATGTCAAAGAATACAGTACAGGGAATAGTATGTTTTTCTCTAGTACTTTCATTAGACACACCTGTTCTCATCAGGAAGGTGGGGCTGCACGTCCGTCACCTTGTCCCCAGTGCCTTGAGGTACGTAACAGATGCTCAGTAACTGCCAGAGAAGGAAAAAATGTAGAACCACAGACAGTAATAGTGTTAGAACCGAAAGGGAGCCTCCATGTGGAAAACCTTCATTTCCAAATGAGACACAGGCCCCTGCGGGCACCGACTTGCCCACGGTCCAGGGGAGACACCTCATGTTTCCCAGTTCATTTCAATACTCTGTACAAAACATTTTTATCAAAATTGAGTAAATAGGTATTATTATATTTAAAATCAGCTGTGGGCCCTGGCTGGTGTAGCTCAGTGGATTGAGCGCGGGCCTGCGAACCACATGATCACGGTTCGATTCCCAGTCAGGGCACATGCCTGGGTTGCAGGCCGGTTCCCTGCAGGCCAGTTCCCAGCAGGGGATGCACAAAAGGCAACCATACATTAATGTTTCTCTCCCTCTCTCCTTCCCCCACTTCCCCTCTAAAGATAAATAAATAATAAAATATTTTTAAAAAATAAAATAAAATAAAATCAGCTGTGGGCAATGTGTTTAACTTTAAAATAAATATCCTTTTGGAAAATCTGAATGTTTAATATAAAGATATGTTATTGTTTCTTTTTGAAGTGTTACTAAAATTATTTCTAAGGTAACAAGATTACTAATAAATAATCTTATATCTTAAAAAGTTTAAACAGTAACAGGAGAGTTCATTTTCAGTGGCAGGTTAGCATCTCTATATTAGAATAAGGACAAGTGAGGCTTTGTAGAAACTATAAATTTTGATTTTAAAAAATTACCCACCTATATATATATGTGTGTGTTTCCAGTATTCCAAAATGCAATTAAAATAAGAAACTTTCTTTTATAATGGATTTGCATATCTTGTTTTACCGTAAAAAGAAGGGCTTAAAATGAAAAACCAGGATGCCTATTTCTTTTCTTATCATAACTTCAATACAGTCACTAACCATTGTCTAAAACTGTGTCCTATGCTTCAGGATTTTCAACACAATTTTTAACTTCTTATAAAACAAAGTATTTATTCTGGCTTTAATACCAATATTAGAAGCATTCTATGAGCTACATATGATAAAGCCATTTTACGGGTTCCAAGTGGTAAGGACCGTGATGATTAAGAAGCTAAACCTTTTCAGAGAGCCACACCATTCGAGGTCCTGTCACCCTCATGTGAGGCTGGCAGCCCCCAACCCCCCCCAGACCTGCCGCAGCACAGCCTGGAGAGGGGCCCAGGCGTGCGTGGGCCACAGCAGCTCAGGGGATCACATCCCCAGGGGCCACCTTCTGGGTTCAGGGAGGGCAGACACTGACCGACCTTCTCACTGTTACAGCCCAGTGCCTGACATCTAGAAGTTGGTCAGTACATATGTGAGGAATGAATAAATGGATAATCAGTTCTGAAATAAAGGATCAGTGCTGATATGAGTCAGTATCTCTCTCCATTCCTGACACAGGCGGGAATAAAAATGATCGGTGCTAGACAGCAGGGAGATGAACGGGGGTGTCTTTGGGAAAGGTTCCCTCCTGACTCTGCCTTGCTCTCGGTGTTGCAGGACTCCTTGGCCCGGCCAAGAGAGACGCGTGGCTGCAGCTAAGGGCAGAGATCGAAGGCCTGACTGACTCCTGGCTAACAAATGCACTCAAGTCTTTATCAATCATTAGTACTAGGTGAGTGGTATTGTTGCCGTTTCTCTGTTTATTGTTTTGAAGATATAGTCCTAATAGCACAGCACATATGAGAATGTTTTAATTCCTAGATTCTGTTAGCATCTTAAGGGACCTAACAGTTCACCAAGTCCCATGATTTTGGTGTGGGTGTGTGTTTTGGGGTGAAGGATGGGGGTTGTCACTCCTTGGGGTGACCAGGAGATCCCATCTCTCACCCTTCTCTCCTCATGTCCACAAATAATACCCCTGGAAAGAGCATGTGACTGCTAATAAAAAAGGGTATCACTGCTGGTGAGGAAGCACAGACGGCACAAATAAAACAATGCTGCTTATACAAAGAGTGGGCGTGTTAAGTCCTTGTGTCGTTATAGACAATATGCATGACTCAAATGCATCACAAAAGGAAGAGAAAAATCTCAAAACATTGTAACCTTTGTGTTTCCTGAACTAAACGGTGAAGTGCTGACTTATAGTCTCAATACTGTAATTGAATAGACTTGTAACTATTGAGCACCATGTGCAATAAATGCTAATGAATGAAATAATATATAGATCTGGAAAGACATGGCCAGTAGGGTGGGGATGAATCTTTGTACTATTCCATTCCTTCGTTTTATATCCAGGTTAGATGAGTACACAAGAGCCTGCTTAGAAAAGTGTGGGCAACACAAAAGTCACAAAAAAAGAGGGTATTTAGACTGAATGAGTCGGGATACAGAAAAACATTGGCAGGGTAAAAGGAAGAGAGGCCACTGTTCAGAACACGGAGTAAACAGGTGTGTGTCCAATCCTGCGCTCGACTTCTGTCCACCGGTCATGACCAGCAACTGCCCGACGTGGCAGAGGCCAGGTGGGGAGGGGAAGGGTGGGAGAGCAGCTTCCTGGGTCAGACTGGGGAAGCCAGGACAGAGCACTTTGCCCAGTTCTGAGCACGCATCCCAATGGGCGTGACACATCTGAAGCATCGTGTGTCTCGGTGGCCAGAGGGTTCAGGCTGTGGAAGCCACATGAAAGGAACAGTTGGAGGGGGAAACCACTGAGTTCATTCTGAAGAACAGTCTTGTGCGGAACAATACCACCGATGCAGCTGCTGGAGATGTCGGGCTGAACATGAGTTACATTTCTCCGCGTCGGTGAAGGAGAGAAACAGGATGGCTGAGTGGGGAAGGTTCCTGCTCCATGCGAGGACCTAACAGTCACAGGTGCTCTGACAGCAAGACTTGCTGCCTCGTGATCTCTGGAGCTGCTGACACGGAGACCAGCGGTCCAGAGAGCTGAGATGTGAGGACAACTGAGCCCCTGAAATTGTGGGCAAAGTGCGGTGAATGTGCGGTTCTCTGGGCAGGAGTGCAACAACTTTTACTATTTCTGAAAAGAGTCTCCTAGGTGGCTAAAAACCTGCATTATTATACAGATTATATACATGTTGTATAGAATGTAGTTGCATGGAGACTACTATTAAACACATGGCCTTAAAAGAACTACACAAATGTGTGCTTTTTAAGAAATCAGGCATAACAAGGAAAGGAAGGGTGATGTACGTCATTATGCACCGAAGATTGAAGTGCGTGAAATGTGCGAAGTTGTTCACCTGAGTTACCCAGCCGGTGATTTTCACAAGATGTCTGGATACCAGAAAAACAGACGCTTATACGAAACATGGCTGAATCAGGAGTCAGAGCCTTCAGCAAAGTTTGTACCCTGTGACTCTAAGTCTCCTGTGAATAGGGTCAAAGGACATAATAAATGTTTCGGGAAAATTATACATGAGGTGGCATTATTTATAATATTGAGAAATCAAAAACCATCTAAGTGACCAAACTTAACTTTAAAAAATGATGGTGTAGCCACATGAAAGAGTACTTTGTACATGTTATGTTTTGTTGGGAGACGGGAAATAATAGACAGCCTGACAAATGAATGGGCTCATGTTATGCAGAAATGGAAAAAGGTAGAATGCAATCGTACGCACACAGTGTGACCCTAATGGGAAAAGTCTGTGTGCAGACAGGAACTCCGCAAGTGAGTGTGCAGAAGCAGGAGCCGTTACGCATCTCTGGGTGGTGAGAGAACCGATGCTTTTCGTCTTCTTCTTTATTTTTGTCTCTGCTTTACAAATATACAACGCAGGTTATAAATATGGTCAGTGTTTGTAAGTTAAAAAAGAAATGGTGTAAGTCAGCCGATCGCAGGGTAAGTGCCAAAGCAAGAGTTCAAAGCCACATCTCTAAACTAAGAAGTCTCTGCCTTGTTTTGTTCTACCAAGTTTTCATTCTGCAATCTTCCTTTATATGTGACATTGAATAGCATCTTCTTTTGGCAAAATAGTATGTAAAACTTTAAGTGCCACATTACAGTAATGTGTGTCTGTATCATTCTTCATAATTTGCCGTTGTTTGGGAAGTTTCTGTCTGATAATAGGCAAATCGGGTCTTTTTTCCTCATCAGTAAAATTCAGGATTATAGTGACGATATTTATTAAACTTCTGCCTCTAGAACCCACTTTCTTTATCTCCTGTAAGTGGATAGCATCATCATTTGCTCCAGGGCTCAGAGCTCCTATTATAAATAAAACCAGATGTCTATGGAGATCATCGAAAAATGAAAATCTTACAAAAGGTCATTCTTATCAAGGTGTTGTCATTGTTTTTGAGGGAACTGCAGTTTTTCCTTACAAATGACATGTGAAAGAATCTAGGCCTAATAGTGAATGTGAGGGCTGTAGCTGCCCCGGATGAATCCACACTCGACTTGCTCTTCTAAGTTGCTGTTGAGGCCCGGTTCCTGAAAATGAATCTAGAGAATTCTAGAGAATGTTTGGCAGCCCCCACGAATATGCACAGAAGGCTGGCGGTGCAGAATGTCTGACAGAGAAAGGTCCACAGCATCATGCCTTCTGATTCCCAGTTTCACAGGTGTGGTTTGGGGGTCCCTCAAAGCAGGATGCTCCCATTCCCTGCAGTCCCTTCTCCCCGGATCTCCAATTCACAGCTCTTCCTGCTCTCTGGGAGTTTCTTTATTTTCCTCCACCCCAGTACTTTCATGAAAGAAATAGCTGTAAATTTCAGAATGGGGATCTCGCTCTCAAAGGATAGAGTGTTTTTGGAGGATTAAAACTTCCGCCATTCAGCACAATTTGCCTTTGGTGTTGCTGAAGAGAAGATTCAGGGATCCCTTCTGGGCTACGTAAGGATCCCTCCATTTTTTCTCCTTCGGGACCCTTTATCATCCACCAGCCCCTCGATGGGACTCTCTGCACTGTTACTCATGCAAAATCCAGGAACTCCGGTTGCCCACCCTCTCGCTTTCTTCCTATCTGTGTCCTCTACTCTTCCAGGGTCTGAAAACGGGGGCACTGAGCTCTAGCACCCTAAAAAACACCAGCTCTGGAGTTATTTATTTATTTATGCTCTGGATGCTTTTAAAAATCAAAGTTAGGCCATCTTCCCTCTGATAATCTTCTCATGGTTGCTAAAGGCTGAGGTAGGTATTCTTCTCTGAGGTTCCAGAAGGACCTGATGAGATATTTATAATTTTACAGAACACATTTAATATTGCAGGTGTCTATTTACGTGTCTCTCTCCATAGCCATCTGTGACCCAGAGGGAGAGAAAAACATCATATACCCACAAGTTCTTCTTGCCCATTTCCTTCTGTGTCCCCCATTTTGAGGAGTATTCCTAGCGTCTATCATGGTGCCTGCCAGGTGGTAGGCAGTCCTTGAGTGATAGAAGGTTAGGTTATCAGGTGCTGTTTATTATGGAATTGAGAGACCACAGTGGTAGTTTAAAATTTGTACTGATAGACTCTATTTAGTACTAGAAAACAAATGTGCATATTTCCTCCCTGTCTTAGGAGTAACTGCGTAAATGTCTTGGTAACGACGACCCAACTGATCCCAGCTCTTGCGAAGGTTCTGCTCTATAGTTTAGGAGGTGCTTTCCCCATTGAGAATATTTACAGTGCAACTAAAATAGGTAAGACGATTGCTTCTAAATCTGTATGAAATGTGTTCACTTCTGTGTTTGGGGGATTTTCTTGATGTGTGTCTCTGAATGAGTCCCTGTTTCATAAATTTTGCTGTTAGAATATTAAGCAAATTCGGGTAGCCCTCAGTACCAAAGTCCCCTGCAATTCATTATACCCGGGCAAATTTTATGAAAACTGTTGCCCAAACTCAGCATCTGGATCATTCTGACTCATTATGTACCTATCTATCATGACATCACATGCTATCTGAATAATACATGGAATTTCTATCCACGGTATTTAATGTTTTACTCAATATGGTACATAATATTTTATCCTTGCGTGTATAATCTGAATTTAACACAAAAATCCTATTTTGGCAGAGGAGTATCAGATGGATTGAAGTAGTGTCCTTAATTTCTGGAAAAAAGTTGATTTCATGAATTAGAAAACATACTTGGAACAATCATAACACAGGAATGACTGGAAACCCACATTTCCAGAAATGCTCAGTAGCAGTTAGAGGACCACAGCCTTGCTTGTTTTGGGCATGTCTATCTGTGGGGCCGTCTTGGGCTTTCAAGTGCCTTTCATGCACTAAGACGTCTAGTAAACTTGCAAAAACAAAACTTCATCAAGCCTGCCATCCTGAAAGAGTTAAAAGAAAACAGCTCAAGTATTCCCTGTCTGTCAAGGAAATGGCTGGGGAAATAGATGGGTTGTATAACTTGGCCTGAAGGTCAACAAATTTAGGCTCTGGCACTTTGGCAACAGAAGTTCAAAATCCTAAAATCCCCTCCCAAAAATAACCTGCCCTGGGCCTTGTGGAGCTTTGACACTGACTGAGGCAAAAGGAGGCCCGGCTGCAGCTGTTTCGGGACCACAGTGAGCGAGGGCAGAGCTTTGGTCAGGCCAGTCCTACCTCGTAATAAGCACTAAGTTCAGAGCCCCGATGTTGACCCCTGTCATTTTTACATAAGTGTCTGTATTCGTGCGAGCAGGATTAATACACAGAACTTTGCTTTACAACAAACCAAATAGTTTTATTTGAGGATAAACATTTCTTCTAGGAAAGACAATATTTTTCTTATTGGCAAATTATTCCAAGCATTTAATCTGAAAAAATCATTTTCATTTTTTCATTTAAGCCATTAATTTTTTTTGAAACTCTCAGATTAAGACACATGGCAAAGTGTAACCATGACTACATGAACATTCTGGGAATGAAATTCAGAGAACTGTGCCAAGGTCACAAAGATGAAGAGCTCGTAGAAATTCCATGGTATTATTCCCATAGTGCAGTCAGAGGGCACTATGTCCCCAAGGCTGTGGCTCAAACAGCACCCAGTTCACTGAGTCTGAGCAGACTAGCTCCCAGCCACTTGAAGAAAAATTATGTATCAAGGTAAATTCACATCTTAATATCCCTCTTTCCTTATGGGTGAACCTTTGCCAGTTCACAGTATTTTCAGCTGGCTTACCAATACTATTTTTTTAAAAACTGGATAAAATTGATATATGGAATGGAGAGGTAAGTGTTCAAACTTACAGTTGCTTATAAGGTTGTTCGGATATCCTTTTGGTACAGCAGGAGATACTAACATTTTCTCTCGGTCAAATGCTTAACCCTACAGATTTTTCGAAGCATGGAAGACATTTATTGAACAATCTGTCCCGAGTACAGACTTCCGTTATTCAAACGTATTTGTTGATTTCATGAACCCAGAGATTGGAAGCTAGTTTAAGTGATTGATTGATGCTCAAGAGAAATGCATTTAACACCGTATCTGAATCTTTAGGTTAATGAATGCAATGGCTGGAAGAATAAGCAGTGCGTTGTCTTTCAGGCAAGGAAAGCTGTTTTGAGCGTATAGTGTCCAGATTTGGCACTAACATAACTTATGTTGTGATTGGAGATGGCCGGGATGAGGAACATGCCGCTAACCAGGTAACTTCACTCTGAACTTTATCTCGTTTATCTTCCAGGAAAAGAAAGTTGCTTTGAACGAATAATGCAAAGGTTTGGCAGAAAAGTAGTGTATGTGGTAATTGGGGATGGTGTAGAAGAAGAACAGGCAGCAAAAAAGGTAACCGTCTCCAACAACGTTGGTGTGGTACTTCTGGTGCAAGCTTTTTTGTTTGCATTCCTGTCGTTTGGTCCAATGGCACCTTGATAAATGATGTAAATTTATAGATTCAAAGTGGTAAGAGCATGAGAAAGTCAATACTTACATTCAAATAAACCATTTGGAGTCTAGCATTTTTTTTGCCTGAAATTCAATAGGAAATACAGGAAAATTTATATGTATTTGTGTGTGTATGTATAACACACATTGATGTGATGGGCTGTAAGAAAGAAGGGGAAAATATAACCATTTTTAAGCACGCAGAATTTCACAATACAAAGAAGTTTAATGAGCTTTATAGAAAATCCTGGGATTCGGTTCTTACCCTTTTCCCCATCCGTTCTCTATGCCATCTGGTCCTTGTGAGTGGCTAGCAGTGCCTCTGCTCCCTGATGACAAATGCTAGGGTAGATTTAATAGCTGAGGCAGAAGCCGATGTGAGAAAATTTAATAAGTGTTATTGGAATGGGATGTACTATTTAGATCCCTTTGTGCCAACCTGTTGTAGAGACTTAGAGGCCACATGCCTCACATCTTCTACAAGAGCGTTGTCTATTTTGGTGAGCCATTGGTACATGCATGAAGCCAAGCAGCTGGCTTTGAACATATTCAGAAGATCTCATAAGCCTTTTCATCTGGCCCATATTTCTGCAGAAGAAATCAAGGCAGTTAAAAAACTATTAAATAGTTGGTCTAAGATCAAAAGAGGAATGATATCAGGATTGGCCCAGACACGGGACTATCAGTCAACACAGCAGAGATTTACTGCTTCCTTCTTTGAATGATAGCAAAACTATTATCTAGCCAGGATAAAAGTGATATCATTTATAAAACAAAGCAAAATGATGAATTAATATTTCGAAACAATGACATATCCACTTACATTGTTTCACATAGAAAGAATGTTGCCCTCCGTATCCTGAGGAGATTTCAAATCATCATCTAATAAACTTTTCACTAAACACTTACATGTGCTGAAGTGCTTACCTGATTTTTGTTTTCAAAAAATAACGACACAACCAGCATCCTCTATAACTTTAGAGCTTTCGTAAAAAGGGACAGGAAGTGATTTGTGTGCATAGTCAATTCAAACCCAGCAAAATGGAGAAAGGGAAAGAGCACGCCCTTGAGAAGGTCTGGCTATGTGTTGGAAGCCATTGACCTTGAGAGAACCTGGCAGGCTCAGCTTCCCACAAAGCACCTCGGTCCTAGTCAGTGTCAGCGACCCTGAAAGCACACCAGCTCAGCGGATGCAGCCTCAAGAAGCACAACTTTCTTTGCTGACTGCTGTTTGAATTCCTTCCAGCTGCACTCAGTGCAGACACCTTCTGGAGTTTGTCAGTGTCCTGAGTCCATGTTTCTGTGTTCGTATTGGCACCATAAGAACACGCAGCAAATACCAGTGAACGCGGCCACTGCGGCGAAGATTTTATTGCTCGTGTCTTTTATTTAGCCTATGTGGAATTCACATATGGTTGTGTGAAGGCTAATAAAATTCACCTTTCCAAACCTGAAACAGTACATGCCTTAGAAAATTGAAACATATACCCCAGTTATCCATGACATGAAGAATTAGATTTGGGGTGCCAGTGGTTATAGCTTCTGCTTTGCACCTAAAACTTCAGGAGACAAGGCATGACTCCAAGAGCATGAGAACCTCGGATAGAATGCTGTTTCCAAATGGTTGTTTATGTAGGTGCAGTTTTGGTGATGGTGAAGGCTTATCGTTCTATTTTGAAACACAGGTGGCTGGTTTCTGTAGTACCCATAATGCATGCCTTTCTTTGAATGTAGCTGAAATCGCATGTGCAGAAATATTAAGTATTACTTTGTTATTACAAATAGATCTGAGCTGAATGAAAAAGAAAGTACTTCTGAGTGAATTTCTGTGTTTAATTTGATCTAAAAACATAGGGGTTAAATTGAAGAAGAAATTTCAAAGTTTAGGAAATGTATAAGTACACTCCCCTATAGAAATATATAATACAAACCATATTTGTAATTTTAAATTTTCTAGAAGCCGCCTTTTTAAAAAGTAAAATTGGATAGAATTAACTTTAGTAATATACTTTAACCCAATATATCCAAAATGTACTATCTCAGCACCTAACAATTATAAAAATTATTAATAAGATATTTACATCCTTTTTTTACATCCTAAGTCTTTGAAACTCAATCTGTGTTTTGAACTGGAAAAGCCACATTTTAAGCACTCAGTGCCCCCATGGGACTGGTGGCTATCATTCTAGACAGCAAAGAATTATATAGCAATCGTGATTAGTACTTTAATGTTTAACTTTTGTGATAAAATTTATTCCCCATTTTTATACAAATGCATTTTCCTTATATACATAAATACATATTATATATACATATATATATTTTATAAGATGTCATCAATCAAAACTTACAAATAATGCTTTGATTTTGTTCATTGCTTCAGTGCAGAGTTCCTTTGTTTTATTATCACTCACAGAGGAGTCATTTTATACATTTTTTTCCTATCATACCCTTCTAGGAAATTTCGATACCATATGTATACCAGAGACTGGCAAATCTCTGTGGGACCACAAGCCATTGGGGTGTCTAAGGCTCTATGCCCCATAAAAACCCAGTGCTGTGTCCTCGAGTGTGTCTCCCCCAGCGAGCGTGGTCGCTAGAGCATCTCTCAGTCCCGTCAGTGAAGCAGGTCAGGCAGCTCCAGCCGCCCCAGAGCAGTAGGAAAGTTGGCCGTCCTACATCATTTTCTACCCTATCCTCCTACAGTCCAGCTGCAAGTTACTCTTTCACCCAGAAAGGGATTCACTCTTTTCCTCTCAGAAGGGCAAAAGACCTTGGGCTTGGGAAGTTTATCCCGTTCCAGTGTTATTTTTAACTGAGAGGTGAAAGGTGGGGAGTGAGGCAGTGATTAAAACTCACCTCCCATCAGCTGCCTAGGATTTTGAGGCCATGCTGCTTTCCCAGGTGCTGCTGTGGGTGGTGTCCTTGCAGAATCAGTGTTAAGCTACCTAAGAAATCCCCGTATTTGCTTTTCCTATCATTGCAATCCAGTTCAGATCTATTTCTCTGTTATTGCGACAATGCCATATTGATGCTACCAAGCCTTCATATATGATCATCCCTGTGTTAAACTCCCTCCCTTGAACTTGGGTGGACTACACATCCTTGTGTGTATGGCTGCTTCATTGAGACAACAGTGGTGATCTCTCTCCATTCCTTCCCCTTCTCTCTCCCACCCCACCCCCTTAACCACACAGCACAACATGCCCTTCTGGAGGATATCCAGTCACTCAGACCTCTTGGCTCTACATCAAGCACTGGAATTAGAATATTTGTAACTGTGTTCTCTAGCTGGAGATCCGTTGTTTTTTTTTTTAATATTTCAAGTACACTGAATTTTTATGTGTGATTCAATGCCTCTGGCTTTACACATATAAATTGTCTTAAAGGATGATATCATATTTGGAATGAAACTTCCAGAATGAAGAATTCAGATTGCTGAATGGAATTAAACTTTAGTGCTACAGAAAGGAAGCTCTATGGTCTTATATTTACAACACTTTAATGATTTAACAAAAAAATAATAATCTGTGGAGGTTGCTGGTACATACGGAATGAGTCCTAACTGGAATTAACAGCTTTAGCACAGAGCACAGAGCGAAGCAGCACCACGTGCTCCGTCTGACAAGGTGGTTTGCAACGACATTCCTCAACATGGGAGATCCTCTCGGCCCTGAGGTTTGAATCTGACTTTAGCCTACCTAGCCCAGAAAATCTGAATTGGAATGCACTCAGACTGTGTAAGGACAGTCCTGTCTACACCTGTAATTTGTGTAAATTATTGATGAAAATAATTTACTGTGACTTTATTAGCAGCTGACTTTGAAAGTGGATGCAATTTTTCTTTCATTTGTCGGGGAGGGACGAGGGAGGGGAAATGGGAATCTGATATCGTCTCTTTTTTTAAGTTTGGCGAACAGAACGTTCATACTGATGTGTTGTGCCTTAAAGACGAGACAGCATTTGTGTGTTACAATGTAACTTTGGTTGAGAATCTCTGTAGATAATGAAAAACAAAAACCTTTGTGATCTTAACATGACCAAATTTAAAATTCAAGCTATCAGAGCTTAATACTACATCAGCAAGAAACTATTTGTTGCTATAAGAAAACAATAATAATAAAAGAAAGCTTGTGTTTTATTTGGGTTCTTAATAATTCCAATAATTATATGAGGCAACTATTAGTGCATCCAACCAGAAGCAGGAGGTTTGGGAAAGACTGTGGGACCTTTACTTAGAAAGTGAAATGTGTGTCGAAGTCCTGAGCATCCTTTCAACCGTTTTATTGGAGAAAACTAAGAGCCATATTCATGAGGACTTGTACTGTTTTAAGTTTGGCTTTTTGATAAGTGTAAGTTGCATAGAAGAAAATATTTTTATAAAAATGATAAGCGAGTATCACCCAAACTTTCTTAGAATAAGCCAGGAAGACAGCTTGAAATTCACATTTGAGTAAACATGGCTGACAATAAAGCTAAGAGCACATTTTTCCAATGCCATTGCAAAAATGAAACATCCCTGGTAGTGGAAGGTGGATGCCCCAGATGGCTTCTTAGGAAAAAAGTGACTCAATGAAAATTTTACCTAGAATATCATCGTAAAATAAATCAGCAAGTGAGCCGCATCTTGGCAGCAGTACTGAAATTACAACAGTGGAATAGTACCTGGTTCTCTGTCTTGACACATCAATCCAGTTTCCCTCCACTGGAGACCTGCATATCTTAGTTTCTGCCTGCACTGTTACTGCACAATGAACCGCATTCATTGCAAGGGGAACCTGGCATCGTTGTGTTTGCATGTTTTTTTCTCTTGGTGTGTAGCCCATGTTAGGAACATGATACAGGTTCTCCTGTCATTTTGTGTGACATGATTTCCCTTGTGGAAATTTAAGCCTTCACGATCTAGGAGTGTTTGCATGATGTCTGCACCTGCAGTCCTGTATTTAAAATGTCATAACGTGGGACTGGAGTCCAGCCACCAGCCAGCGCCCTAACCTGAGGCTGGTTGTGATAGCTTCACCCTCTGAGGTGGCTTCGGTGGCTCCCCTAAGGTCAGTGCTTTGCACACCGATCACAACACTCGGTGTAGAAATGTGATTTTATTTTTCAGGCTATAAACCTGTATTTCTCTACTAAATGTGAAGGCCATGTTTACACTGGGCAGAAGGAGAGTGAGATCCAATTTTACATCCGATTGTGAATTCATCATGCAAACCTTAAACTTGACACTTTGTAGCCTTTGGCTACCTCTGCCCTAAGTACAGTTGCAGACAAATTAAGGTGGGAATGCTAATAATAATAATAATAATTCTATGTTTCTGTTAGCCTTTAGCTTGAAAATAACAGTTTAAAAATTAAAGAGCTGCATTGATTATCAATAATTATATTTTGTGCACTAAAATCTTAAATATTTATTACTGTGAATAAAACAAAATTATCTTTACTGTATGGCCAGTTTCTTTAAATGACAGAATTGTGGCATTACATCCAAATTTTTCATTCTTTTTCATATCAAGCAAGCAAGGCTTCTTATGCTGCTAAGCCTGCAGGTGCAGAGAGGGACAAGCCCTCAGAGAGCAAAGAAAAGGGTCGCTGATTGCCTCACCCTGTGCTGTTTCTCACACCCAGCTTCTCCTCTGATTGTGTGTTCAGAAAAGGCTGCCAGCACAAAACCTGAAGGCTAGGTCAAAGGAGAAGAGCTTGTTTGTCACACCAGTGGAGCAGGCCAAGGAACCAGCATCACAGCTGGTCACGTGACTTTGAGCATGCTCAGAATAGAACCCTTCCCTTCCCACCTTAGTAACAGAAGATCCTCTTCCTTTCTGATGTGGAAAAAAGTTAACCAACAAGCAACCAGCCCCTTTGGCAATATCCGCATTCTATTTACTTGTAAAATATTGTGCCTTATGGTAAACAAGTTTGAAAAATATTCTGCAACTTAAATGAGTTTATGGCTACTTCATGTACAAGTGTGGTATATGACTGGGAAAGGTAACTATCTTGTGTTGCACCTGAAATATCAAGATAGGTCGTCCTGGTGTAATATTAGAGCATACAAGATTAAGTCATGATGCCCCAGAGAAAGTTTGTAAATCAAACTTAGAGGCAAAATAAAACATTTAGAATCATGCAGTTTGTGCACAAAAAGTAGATAATAACTCTAAAAAAATTTTCCCCTGGTCTCTGGTGAACTAAGATGCAAAATAGTGTCAACAGCATTCTTTGGTATGGGTTTTTTACAGCTCATTTGTTTATGACAAGCCTACATTCTCAGTGAATATGGCGTTTAGTATTTCTTTAAAAAAAAAACAAACTTAAGCATCATGAGCCAAAGTTGCATTTTGACTCCTTACTATGGTAGCATGATGGAGATCTCACAGTCAAAGTCAAGGGTTTCTGTTATGTATTAGTAAAATATAGATTATGGGGGCCTACATAATTTAAAGAAATGTAAATTAATATTAAAAGCTTGTAAAAATATGTACATCTTTACTATTTCTCAATAAATACCTTTGGAAATGTTTTCATTTTCTTCACCATCCAATGTTGTAGAGTTTTGGTTGTATATATTTAGCTTGACTCTAAATAATGTGAAATTTGTGTTTAGGTTTCTTGATTTATCCTTACTTTCCATTTTTTTGTGCCTAAATTGCATAATTTGCACTTAAGGCAAGCTAGGTTGTAACGCAGTAAAATGTAACTAAGACTACAAGAGGGTTGGTATACTGAAAAGATGTGAGTTGTGTAGTTGTTTACATAGAGGTACTACATTCAGGTATAATGAATAATGTAGTCCTAGTTTATTAATGATAAAAATAATGCCTTTCAGACTATTTAAAGCAAGTCCCCTTGAGATGAATATAGACATAGTTTAGCCCTGACCACATGGCTTGGTTGGTTAGAGCATCATCCTGATAAACCAGGGTTGCTGGTTGAAACCCCTTCTCGCCCCCTCCCCCGCCCCGATCAGGGCACATACAAGAAGCAACCAATGAATGCATAAGTAAGTAGAACAACAAATCAGTGTTTCTCTCTCTCTCTCTCTCCCCCCTGCCTCCCTTCCTCCTTCCCTTCCTTTCTAGAATATAAACATAGCTTCCAAGTAGCTTCCAAGAGAAATGGAGTGTTTTTCTGAAATAGATTCAACAGCTTCTTCTTATCTTGGGTATAGTATTATTTGCAAATCTGTTGCAGTGTAAACAAGGCAGATTTCAGAACCTCCTTCTTAACTTTTAAAACGTTAGCCTCTGAATTGAGGTAGTTTGGAAAAAAGGTTATTCATGAGCTGAGAATGATCTTCTGGAGAGAAAAAAAAACAAGTTTATAATGAATCAGTAACTGTTGCTTCTTCCCCCCCTTTTCCTTTTTTATTTTTAAAAACAGTATGCAACATCAGTAGGTTTAGTTGACTTAAATCACTTAAAGCCACAAAATATCACAAAAATGATATGTTTGACAATTGTTATGATTTTGAGTTCCAGAAGCAAAAAAATAAATAAAAGAAAGAAAGAGAGATGTATGATTTCCCTTAGTGAGCAAAAGCTAACCCATCTGTATACATTTGCATTCTTTTTAAAAAATCAGTTATTGTGCATAATGGTATAAAAGTACATATAGTTTCATTCCCAGATCACTACTCAAATCAGTCTCAAATTTGACCAGGCCAAGGTCAATTCTGGAGATGTACTGTGGTCAACAAAGATGCTTCCTCAGAGCATCAAGGGGGAAAATGATCCAGGTTCTGACTTTCAGTGCCTTTCTCACATCCAGAGAAACTTCCAGAACTGTATCAGCACACAATTTGCAAAATGGCCGAACATAATGTGCTAAGGAATGTCTGATACAATAGGTATTTCTATACAAGCCAGATGGTTATTTTACCTCTCCATAAAATACTATTTGATAGAGGTTTGTGGGAACACTCTCTGTGACTGAAGGTCACTTTTATTATCCTCTATAGTCATGAAATCTTAGACTTTGTGTTTGGTGGCTGCTATGAAGTTGTCTGTCTAGCTGTCTGGTGAACTTTCAGTGAAAATACTTGGAATTAATGAGGAAACAGAGGAGCCAACCAGTAAATCAGTCTCCACAGAACCATAGCAGGGTAGGGCTGACCGTGAACTCATCACACTCCTGACCCTACACCTCAGGTTAATAGTGCACAGAGGCACCTAAGCAGCCCTTGAGGGAAAGATTCTCAAGATGTAACTCTGAGGTCAAAGTGGAGAAGGCCAGGGAAAGAGGGATCGGAAGCATCTTAACAAAGTAGAAAACATATGAGAGAGTATAGATAAGCAAGAGAAGTAGAATGGTATGCTCAAGGAACCGCAAATAAGTGTTTCCAGAGGACAGAATAAAGAGAGGGACCAGCAACAAATGAGACTAGAAAGTAAACAAGGGCCAGATCATGAGGATTTTCAATACAATTAGTGAGTTTTTACTTTATCCTGAGATCTGTCGGTGTCAAATAAAAGATTTGAAAGGTAAACAAAGGAATTATTTGTCTGGATTTGCACTCGATAACAGTTCCTCTGGCCACACAGTGGAGATTCAGGATTCAAAGAGGCTGGCACGGGATTTCTGGAGCGTTGGTGATAGTTTCTTGATGGCAACAGCCATGAGTGTGGAGAAGAGTGCACAGATCCAAAGAGCCGAAGATGCTAATGGTTAGGATTGAGCATTTGTTGCTGCTTCTTGGGTCCCCTGACCTCTAGGTCTCCCGTTTGGAAAATTTGGTGCATGAAGTGTAGTTCACAGAGTTCAGAAACACTAAAGAATGAAAAGCAAACTCTAGTTGCTATTTTTATTGCTGTTGGTGGGGTTGTGACTGGAGAGAGATTAAGTCCAATATGGGGCACTATTCATTTGCAGGTGGTGGTGGACCTCAAGAGTTGTCCAATGGGAAGATGGATTTGTAACAATTTCCTCGTGGTTTGTTAAATACCTTGCCATCTCCTAATGACATTATTCTGAGTCAATAAAATTCCAAATAATTTTATCAGATAACATGAGTCATCTAAAAAGCATATACCATTTGTGCAACCTTATGGCAGCAGGGATGAAAGCTGTGAATGATGGCGGTAATGTAGAGTGTGTGTGAATGGTGAACACCAGAGAAAGTTATTTGGGGTTACTGTTGATTTAACACCCTGTTTCCTCATCTCCAACCTTACCCATATTTCCAGTAAAAATAATGAATCTGGATTTACATCCTTGCAGAAATTCAAATGCTTCTATGAACTTTCAGTTGGTGCATTGTGTACCAGTTATCATGAGCTTATGTCTGCTTGGAAACAAACATGACGTTTCTAATTTATATGCCAAAAAAGAGCAATTAGAGAAAGCTCTACAACAGAGTAATGGGTGATTTATTCATTTGCTCTGAGGCAGATTAATGTATTCCAAAAAATATGACCTTCATTAAACTACATGTGGAATGAACTGTTTCAGGAGAGTGGGCAAGAAGAACTTGTACATGAAATTAAAATCAGTGCCCAATAAACACATATAAAACAATCCTAAATTAAATTATTTCCATATTAGTTATGGGAACAGCAAGGACTGGGATGAGAGAAACACTAATGAGAGCTTTGTAAAAAAGGTGGTATAATGGATCATTTTTTAAAACTCTCATTTAGAGCAGCAATTTTCAACCTTTTTCATCTCATGGCACACAAAAACTAATTACTGAAATTCTGCAGCACACCAAAAAGTATATTTTTGCCAATATAACAAAAAATATGTATAATTCTGAACCATTCACACCGGATGACTCTTGTTGTGTTGGGTGTTGTCATTTTTTTAATTTGAAAATCTAAGGGATAAAGAGGTTAGTGCCCCTGACTAAATAGTCAGATATTACGTTTTTAAAATTCTTGCATCACACAGGTTGAAAGTTGCTGATTTAGAGTTTTACAAACAACAAGTGCATTTTTCAAATGTTGAAGAGCTGCTGCTCTCCTAAATAAAACCTAGCGCCATAAACAATTACCACTTTTGGCAATATATGTTCTCAACATGCTTCTTTTCTCAGAAATTGGTTTTAAAGAATGGAAAAGGGAACATTTCCCTTCTGTCTGTGCATATCAGAGTTACTCATTCATGTACCTCTCTCCCTATCCACAAAGCCCTTATTATTTGTTGTAATTTTACTCATCCAACCTGAACAGCATCTGCTAGGCCGAAACAGATAGGAGGTGGTCAGGCTTCAATTAATCAGGACTTCTGGAGCCAGCTCTAGAGTGATCATGCTAGAAAGATAAAGAGGAAGGAAACTAACGTTTGAAGAGACCTGTAATAAGCCAGGAGTTTACATATGGCACTTCATTTAATGAGCACATTTCTGAGGGTTGGTAATATTAGTCCTGTGATGCAATTTCAATGAGCACCCAAGGCCGTAGATTGGTGGTGGCACAGGCAGAGCTGGATCCTCGGTCTATCACACGGACTCTCTGGGATGCGAAGTTGTGCCTGTGGCGCTGGGTCTGGCTGCCCGTTGACAGCAGTGGAGTTCCCCGGAACTCGTCGTTGTGATCTGAGGAAAAGTGGCATCAAGAACCCGTGGGGCTGCAAGCAGTGGAGTTAATGGGGACTCTCTTCTTGCCCCCGGAGCATTAATGCTATCCAAATAACATCCCCCGCAATCTACGTGGCAAATGAGCCTTGTGCAGATTAAATGTCACTTTTGCAGAGAAATGATAAAAGGTTCGTTAACTGAAGATTTGGCAAAGCAATCACAATTATGTCCAGTTTTATACTTGTATGAAAGCCTAGAGGATAATTATTGAGTAAAATCTATTGAATTGATTTACTATTAGGTAAAACAGGTTTTCCAGGTGCTCTTGACACACCTGACTTAGAGGTTCCCTGGCCCTGAGTGGACCTTGGACAAACATATGACCAGAGTGAAGGGCTAGGAAGCTTTTATAGCTACTAGTGTGGGGAGGTCAAACAATTCAGCGTAGAACGTTGAAGAATCCACAGGACCTCAGGAGTACCTGGTTGGAGGATGTTCAGAAGAAAGTTCCTGAAGGGTAAGTAGAGAAAAAGTTTTGGCAGTGACTTAGCTGACATTATATATTTTCTAAAATTCCATAGTGGACATGGTGTTTTTCTAAAAATTGAGATAAAATACACATAAAACTTACCATCTTAACCTTTTTAACTGTACAGTCTGTTGTCTTTAGTACAATCCCAATGCTGTGCTCCCGTACCAGCATCCATCCACAGAACTCTTTACACTTTGCAAAACTGAAACTATGCACCCATCAAAAGTGACTCCTCATTCCCCCCTCCCCAGCCCCTGACCACTGTGTCTCTGTGCATGTGACTTCCTTATGTCAGTATAATCACGCAGTAGTCATCCTTTTGCGACTGGCTTATTTCACTTAGCGTAACGTCCTCGAGGTTTGTCCATTTCATAGTGTGTGTCAGAATTTTCTTCCCTTTCAAAGCAAATACTATTCCATTGCAGGTAAATGCCGCATTTTGTTCATTCATCAT